AAATATTTGTCAAAAAACACCTCATGAACTAAAGAATCTCTACTTTGGACCAAACACTAGCCTTATTTAGCCAAGGGTGCTACGTTGAAAATTTCAAAATGCCTAAATCACATTCTTTCTTCCATTTTGCTCCTACACATTTTGTCCATCCACATCTAATGTATACCTTTACCATCATGTTTCAAACTCTACCAATATGCACTAATTAAACTATTTTAATTCTTGGCAAAATTGATATTATCTATCATTTATTTATGCTATGTTTGGATAAATATCAATAAAGGAAATGAAAGAAAAAGAATGAAAAAAAAAGTTTTTTAAAGGAAAGGAAAGGATACATGTAACCCTTATTTGGATAATTAAAATTAATAAAGAAAAAGAAAGGAAAAGAATTCTAACAACCATTGCTTTGATAAAGAGTGAAAAAGAAAGGAAAAGATTTATTATAATAATTTTTTTCAATTATAACCTTTCATTACCTGTGATTTTATAGCACTCTTGGACCATGATATGTTTGTTATCTTGTCTGGCCTCACAATTGTTGCTATATCAATGGTTTTTAATCAAGTGAAATAGGAAGATATTTTACAAACATGCATTAATGGACTTTAAGCTGTTTGTCATATCATAAACCCAAAAAATACATCTATTCATATTCAACCATTTATCAAAATCAAATTACCAAAAAATTATAAAAAATTTTTATATTGGAAGAGATATGTGAAACTTAGTTGAAAAAAGAGATGGCTTTGAAAAAATTAAAAGATAATTGTGATCTACTTAGGTTTTTCTTATTAGGTTTTTAGTATTAATAAAAATATGGACATAATAGTCTTTTTATAAAAAAAATATTTTTCAACTTTTCTTTCCTCAGCTTTTCCTCCAAATTAGAGTATTAAAAAAACTGGGTTTATAAGGGAAACCAAAGGTTATTTGGTTTTCACCTCTTTTCCTTTCTTTAGATTAAAAATTTATCCAAACAAAGAAAGGGGAGTCTTGTTTCCTTACATTCCTTTACTTTACTTTCCTTTCCTTTACTTTCCTTTCCTTCCTCTCCCCTCAATCCAAACACACTGTTAAAGTTCATTGATTAGTTAATTATCATTAAGAACTTTACTTATAATTAACTCTGGATTTGATTTGGTGCTAACTTTTACTTTTGTTTACTCTTGGTTTCTATTTGTTGCACATGGAGTAGTATTGAATTGATTTTCATCTAATGTGAATTGTCTTTTTGTTTTCTACTTTGATATAGTGGAATCTTTACTTGTGGGTGTTGGTGAGCCATTATGTTATAAATGATATTATGTATGTGGTTTCAGGTGGACTTTTTTAGTACAAAAAATTAAAAGATTATGATTTTATCTATGATTGCATATTGGCTTACTTTATACCGGAGCTAAATGTTCAATTTAAGAGTAAATGTTTGCTTGCTTAATCAATTCAAAACTAAACATTTTATTCTATACAAATAAGGATTAAGTGTTATCAACTTATAACAATGTAGGACTTTTTAGATGGACATGTGGTTGTGAAAGACAAGTGTTGTTAAGTTTCAAAAAAGTAATAGGTGAAAATGATATGGAATTTCTCAAGTTTTAAAATATTTTAATATTTTTTGGCATTATTTTTTAATTTCTTGCTTGAAAAAAAAAACCAAAATGATATAATTTATCTTCAGATTTGATTAGGGTTATTTCTAGAAATTGATTTTGAAGGCAGCAGAGCAAAGCAAGAAAGAAACGATTCCAATGCAAAAGAGAGATGTCCAGTAATATAATACAAATAATTCCATCTTGATGTACAACAGAACTAAACACTTTATTCTATACAAATAAGGATTAAGTGTTATCAACTTATAACAATGTAAGACTTTTTAGATGGACATGTGGTTATGAAAGACAAGTGTTGTTAAGTTTCAAAAAAGTAATAGGTGAAAATGACATGGAATTTCTCAAGTTTTAAAATATTTTAATATTTTTTGGCATTATTTTTTAATTTTTGCTTGAAAAAAAAACCAAAATGATATAATTTATCTTCAGATTTGATTAGGGTTATTTTTAGAAATTGATTTTAAAGGCAGCAGAGCAAAGCAAGAAAGAAACGATTCCAATGCAAAAGGGAGATATCCAGTAATATAATACAAATAATTCCAGCTTGATGTACAACAGAACCAAACCACAAAAAAGATTAAAAAAAATCATAGAAATAGAGGAGTTAGGGTTTTGAATTTTACCAAAATGTGTAACAAAACTGAACTAATTGTAAATGTCAAATCAAGCTTAAGCTTGTGATTTTAGAAGATAAACTCACTAAACAAGGCTACACTAATTCTAAAATCATTGATAAGAAAAAAGCCCAATATCCAAAGCCAGAACCTTTCCCTAATTTTTCAATTCTTAGGGTTTCGATTAAGAAAAAAAATGATATTACCTTGAATCAAAATAACCTTAGCTCTATAATGGATGAAGATGAAAAGAATCTTTGGTTGATTCAAAGTTTGGTGACTCTAATTCAAAGTTGAATCCTTATGGTTTTTCAAATCTAATTGTTAGGAATGAGATTGGTAGTGCTTGGACTCTTGAGTTTTTGATGATTTGAAAACTTAAAGAAAGGAAAAAAAAAAGAAAAACATTGGAAAATGATTTTTTTTTACGAGAAACAAGCAAGGCAAAGGAAGGAAAGTTGTTGACTCTTAGAAAAGTTTTCTAGAGGAAGAAACTTGAGGAAAATATTGGGAAAGATAAATTTTTTTAGAAGTTAATTAATTAAACTTGATTTTTTTTTCAAAATTATGATTTAAACTAATATTTTATTATCCTGAATATGTGGACAATAATATTACTACATCAATAAAAAAAATATACATCATTGACTTGCCACATTGCAAAAATGACATGTGTGCTAAGTAATTCAATATCTCACTTGAGTTGAAGGTGTTTAGAGTGCACTTTTTCAATTCTGTCAAAAAAAAAAAAAACTTACAGTTTTATAAAACGATAACGTTTAATTCTTATTCATATAAAATAAAACGTTTAGTTTTGAATTGAGCAATCACCCAAACGTTTAATCTTAAATTAAGCATGTAACCTTATTCTTATTCCTTTTTTTATCTTTTTAAATTGCTTTCTTCATTTGTTATTTTAGTTTAGATTCTTTGTACTCAAACTTATAAAAGCATTTATAAGTTTTATAATTGAGGGTAAGGGGAAGATAAATTTGAGGGATGGTAAGATTTCATCAAAAGAAAATTTTAAAAATACAAAAAGAGAAAGGGAAAAAAGATAGAGAAGAAACTTCGAATGTTTTGATGGAATCGTAGTAGTTTTATTTGTGAATCAACAAAATCTTAAAAAGAAAAAAAAAAATCTCTTGTTAAATTTGTTTGATTTTTTTTTTTTGAAATTTTACGATTAAGAAAAGAAAGAAAGAAGCAAAATAATTTTAAAAATAGATAAATGACGCGTATTTTTTATTTGTCAGCATTTTTTAAGCTAATAACGTGTGTCTTTCATAGCTATAATTTCATTTAAAAAACACTTAAATTGTTATAAGTCGATAATGTTTAATCTTTACTTGTATAAAATAAAAAATTTAGTTTTAAATTTAACAATTACCTAAACATTAAATTTTAAATTGAACATTTAACTTTAGTTAAACAATAAACCGTGGCGAAGGTTTTCCCTTTCATGAAAGAGCAAAGCAAAATGAACACTCTTGCTAGAGCCTATAGTTGGTGATGGTGAATTGTTGGGAAATCTATACTACTCTACATCAAAAGATTGTCAAAAAGATTTAAAGATTAAAACTTGTCCAAACTTACTGTGAGTTAGAGCATTTGTGGGCTTTTGATTTTAACATTTGGATTTAGAGCTTATTTGCATGGCAAGCTGTTTGATATATGGAGAAATGGGTTGGCTTTGCATTGGATTAGATGATTTTATATTATTTTGGTTTAATTTCTTATATGTGACAAGTATTTTAGAACTCTTAAGACAATCATTAAAAAAAATCTATGAAAAATTTTAAAGAGAAAGGAAACCACTTTTTTCTTTTTTTATTATAAATTGTATTGTGCAATATTTAAATATTCAAGTACATTCGATTATTGCTTTTTTAATAAATGTGCAAAAGAAAATAAAATTAATACACTTGATTATTGTGCTTTATGATCCATGATAATATGTGTAATTCTATAATATATTTGTTGCTTATTTGTTTTCCTTAATATCAATCAATGATGTTTTATGATGATAATATAGTTTTCAATGCCCCGAAAGTAGCACTAATTTAATATATATTTATTAGTAATTTTTAATTACTTATGTAAATCAATTAACTACACATAAAACGTTGATATAATACTAGTGAGTACGAATTCAAGGCCAAAGTTTGCTTAATTGGCATCAACAAATAAGATATAACCGTGTATTCTTGTATGATTCTTCAACAGTAAAAAGTAACAAAAGTTAATATATTGTAACAACTGTTTTTCGCTTCGTGGTTTTGTAGCCAGAAAAACATTTAAGAAGATATAAAAATTTAATTTTGAACTAAATTTCTCATCTCTCTTCTTATATTATAATAGAGGGTTTTGCATCTCCCCATTAGAAACCAAAATATATATATATATATATTATAATAATTTAAAATATAATATTTTAAACGTCTCTCATAATTTTATTAATAAATAATAATATAATATAAATAATATAACAAATATTTAAAAATAATATGAATTAAAATTTTCGACAAAAATGAATTTAATAATAATTAAAATACATATATTTTATATTTAATACGTTAATATAAATTATAAAATAATAATTTTTATATTTTACGTATTTTAATATAAAATATCATATTTAATTTTGGACGAAACTATTTTTCATTTAATTTAACCGAATATTTAGTTTGAGTGCTTGATTACCACGTGTCATAAACCGAGCTCAAGGACTCGGAATTGTGCTAATATGGGTGGCAAAATGTGAGGCCTATGTCAACGGATTCCACTGCGAGTGGACTTTGGTGGTGTGCTCAAACCCCAAATCCAAAAGGAAAAATTGAAATGGCCTATTCTCTCTGCGCTGCTTCTGTAACTTTACCGCCGTCCCAAGAACTACATCTACGGTTTCAACCTCAGAAACCCAGACCCAAACTCGCTGCCACAAGAATCCGACCAAGTCCTTTCACTTTCTGTTTCAAGTAAGTAATTGAACTTTGATATATATTTATTCACGCTGTATCTAGGGAATGTCAATTCAGTTTTTACATGTTTCTAGTTGAAAGGCAACTGAGTGTGCTATGCAGTTGCATTCTTTTGCTTTGAAATTTTGACCATGTTGGTTCTTGGCGGACTGCTTTTCTTCATCCTCAAGCTGGTTCTTACACAATATAGTATTATCTGAATGATAGATTTGTTCGCCTTTGGGCTAAAAGGATGGCTACAGTTGGACTGAAAGGGTAGCTTCCTGGAAATATTTCCAGATGGTGTTTAAACTTAAGAGTGTCAGGGGATGCTCGATACTAGATGTAGGAAATAGGAAGGGTCCTTGGTAAAAGTTAAAACTAGGGTGATAAGTTTAGGCATCTATACCATTTGGCAATTCTTATATTCGTATCTATTTATTTTGTATTGTAAAATACAAAAATTATCATGTCACAAAAACACAATTTTTTTTTGTCAAACTTATATAATTTTTGTTAACATTTTAAACCATTTTTTTTTGTCTTTTTTTTATCATTTCGGTATGGTGTCACGTAATGTTCAAAATTGCCAATCTATCTACGCTTAAATAATGGAATCAGCTCATATTTGGTTCTAAGTAAAATTCCATCAAATCCATACTTGCTTCCCGCTTACATTTATAGAAATAGTTGCATGGCATCATCTGCCATCTTTCCACATTTTTGTGCTTTGCTTCATTTATTCAAAACGAGATATTCATAAAAGTTGCATCCTTCTTTCCTTTGCCCAGCTGCAGAAGGTTTGTTAAAGTTTTTCTGCTAGCTTACATTGGCTACCTTTATTACCTATCAAAATATTTGTGCACTATAAGGAACCAATCAGTTGGCAATCAGGCCATTGTTTATGCAAGCTTCATAAAATATACTTGAGTTTGCCAAACAGCCTGTGTGGTCTGATGATGGAATGCTAGACTTTTAGTTTCAGTCATCATATTCAATTCCTAACAACCTCAAATACCAAAAAAAAAAAAAAAAACAAAGAAACACTTGAGTTTGCCTCCATTGTTGAAGGCAGTGGCAGCATGTGGTATATATGTATCGCATGCTTAGTTGTATCTTTGATCCTGACATGCTGTAGTTGAAATATTGCCGCTGTATTTCACATGGTGAAGTTGATAGTGGTATTGTCATTCTTCTTTTACTTGCAGGGTGAAATTTGAAAGAAGGCTTAGTTTATTTGGTGTGTTTGCCTCAAACTCTAATCCTTCTAGTGGAGATTCCATCACAGAAGAATCAGGTGCAACTAGATCGGGTGATACTGCTCAAGGCCCCCCATTCCTCACCATTTTAGCAGGATTTCTAGTTTTTTTTCTTATTTGTTGGATGCTTGGATCCATTATAATGCGGTTGATTGGTGTAATTCTTAAGTTGCTCCCAAAATAAAGGCAGCTGTTTCAACTATCTTTTCAAAGTAACATCAAACAAATGAATCTTTTATAAATTTGTTTGTCCAGACATCTTTCTATAGAAATTTCAAGCAAATGAATGTTTTATCGTGGGTGCTTAATTTTGTGGGGAAAATGAATGATAATACACTACAAATTCTGGCTTCATAAATCTGCCAAACCAGAACAACTAGCAGGCCAACTTAAGGAGTAAGCCGACCTGGGCTGTTGTTCTACATGTAAGAATGAAAATCTGAGTGATTATTTCACACCATGTGGTGAATTGTGATTGTAAAAGTACTTGTATTCTCTTTCTTCGGTTCTCATGACCAGACTTACGCTGTTTCATTCTATCAGCGTTATGCTTAGAACGTAAATCTGTTTCATTGTATCATTTCCTTTTTCTTTCCTTTACAAAAACTGTTTTTCTATTTGTGGTCTTATGTTGGTTTAATTGAACGACCAGTTTAGAATATGAACGGTATTGGTTACTAGAATTGAAGAAAACATCACATATCAGCAGGTTGATGACAATGTCTCTACATTGACTGGAGAATGCTGTTTTTGTTTGAAAGCTGCAAATGATGCAATGCAATACCTGTAGCAAATCTAAAGCTCTACATCCAATTATAAACAGAAAAAAAAAAAAGGAGTTTGCTCACTGCCATATTAAAGTTGGCTCCATCACCCTGCAATATTTGTGTCTCCAGTTGCGACTCAGTTGTAAAAGAAATACTATAAACTGATGCATCAAGCCCATGAGGATGTCCCAATGTCAATTGGTTTCTGATATTAATACTCCGGCTCAGTTTCCTGCAGCAGCATCACTTCGGAATTGTTCTACAAGGGGAGGTAGGAGAAGAGCAAGCCTAGTTTTGTACCTTGCAATTCGCTTTAAACGTTCTTGTCTTAATCTAAGACAAAGGACAGTTTTAACATAGTCATCTTCTGCATTATAAACACCCATTGGGGTTTACATCTAAGCACATAGTAGAAAACCAGAAAGATGCTATGAGGAAAAATGATAAACAAACCAGAAGATATTGGAAAATATTTGTCAACAAAACAAAGTCATTTCAACAGTTATTTAGATACTTCTATGCTTTATCCAAACTTTCTGTTCATGCTGGCTTGTAAAGGAGAAATAGTACAAATTTTGCATTCCAATGACATCTTAAAGGTGGAAGGTCAAGCTAGACAGAAGAAAAGTATATAATGCTTTCATAACTTTCCCACTGCTTTTTTGTGAGCAATTATAAAATAAGAAAGTAAAATAATATAAATAAGCTAATATAAAATAACACGGTAAAAAACATGTATCACACAATCTTCTAAAGATCTCTCAGAAACAGACAACATTACAGATTAATGTTTTAATTTTCAAGAACCAGTATAAAATGATTGTAGCAACAAAATTCATGAGAAACACACCAAGTTGCAAAGAAAGAAACTTACCTTGATCTAACCTTTTTTGCCCGATCAATATGCCTTTTCAACAGATCTTGTGCTGACAAATTCTCAATTGATTGCTCATCCTGAAAGCAGGAAAAGGAAATTCAGCTCATTCTAAGAAAGGAAAAACACAAATCAAATTGATTATTCTGGTGTTAAGAACTATTGCAGTAAAGGTGATGAACATGCAGCTATCCTCATGTCAGCAATAAACAGAAGATTCAGGGGTTAATGAAAGATTAACGGTAACAGCAACAATAAGTGCATATGATATGCAACCAACTGGATTAACTTAGATAAAAATCAAAAGATAGTAAAAGCTAAAACTAGAAGAACACGGTGTGGTCAAACATCTTAGATATAAGCACTCAGACTCATGTAAGAAAAAATACAAAAAATGAAATAAAATGAAGCAAAATAAAATAAAAGGGAGGCCACTGCAGTTTGTAAAGACCATGTACTGGTGGCACTTTATTTATTTATTTTTAAGAAAAACCTAACTTAGACAAGCTGTGATGTTGACATGACAGATTGATTCCATTTAATGAAACATTTGCATAAATCCTTACAAGACTGTCACATAGATAACAAAATGCAACCAGGAACCAAGAAGCTAGATAAGTTTATAATCTTCTCAATTTATTTTCATTACATGGTCTAGGTCTGACAGCTTGACTATTAAACGTGATCACAAATTGAGTTATTACACAGTTATGGTCATGCTGAAGTTGGGAGATGCAAGGGGTGATCAGGAAATTATCCACCTTTTAGCAATTTTGCATTAGCAATTTTGCATAAAGGCAGCTGCTCTTAAAACTTGTTTGTGCACTCCTATATTTTTCAGCCCAATGTTCTTAGATTAGTTACCATTGCACCAGATGCTATTAGGTTCTCTCTCTCTCTCTCTCACATGCACAACTTTGCAAATCTTTCAATCATTTTATTACTTGAAATTTTTATATAGAGGCAGCTGCTTTGAAAACGTTTGCCCACTCCTATATTTGTCAGCCCAACACTCTTATAACAGTTACTATCACACCAGACACCAACAGGTGCTCTCTCTCTCTCTCTCTCTCTCTCTCTCTCTCTCTCTCTCTCTCTCACACACACACACCTAAAACTTTGCAAATCTTACTCAAATTATTTTATGACATGCAATAATGATTATTTTGTGACTATGGCAAACAAGATCATTATCAAACTTGAGAAACATATGAATACAAACTTGGCATTACAACAAAAACATTAAAGGAAACTAACCTCCTTTTTATCTTCCTCTTCTTGTTCTTCTTCATCTTCCGTGTCCTTTGGCAAAATATCCACGACTGGTATAGGTAAAGGCTGTGGAAGAGACTTGATAATATCTCCATATTGGGGCTGCTGGCAAAATTAAGATTACTAGGCATAATAGAAGGAATGAAAGCAATAAGCTAATGGGTCTTTGATTAGTCTCCTTTACCAAACCCTGAATCTGACTGGGAAGCCCCCATGTAGTCAAGGCGCACACCTAGGCACTATGGCACAATGCCAGACAACAAAAGCACCGTAGACCCTTTCAGGTGAGACGCATTTGATCAGGCACATGCCTGGTGTGCCTGTGCACACTTTCTTGTAAGATGGTAGGCACAAATAAAGAACATCTGATTGAAGTTCTCTTTCATTTCTTTTATATTTATTTTTTTTTCATGAACTGTACCTTTAATATAAGAAAAATGACAATATCAAACTCTCAAATCCTCAATGTTTGAGCATTCAGAAACAGACTTGGGACCATACGGAATTCATACATATTTGCCAAAAGAAAGAAAAAGGAAATTGTGCATGTTTTGTAGGATAATTGGACCACTCTTTACAGTTTACCATCAGGATTATATACCTTAAGTTTATTTTTTATATATATACACACACATACATCCATTGCACTTCACTCAGGCTGTATAAGAGTTGTAGCGCATTGAGTGCACCTTGTTCCCTTGACAACACTGGAAGCGGAAAAAAACAAATCTTGCATACAATGGAATTGTATTTTCATTTTTGGTTACATGCCAATTGAATTGTTGCCATATCCTTAAAAGTTAAACCACTACTATTCAAGTTAAATATGTTTTTTCAGGAAAAAAAAAAAAAAAAAAACTGTTCTGAGTAAACTGTAAATGAATTCCCAGCAAAAGACATGCAAACCTGAGTTTCGTCTGTAAACCCATTTCTCAACCATGAACGGCAAAGAGCATAAACGGAAGCCCCATCTGTAACTCTGACCTACAAAAGTAATTCAAAGGTCATAAATGAAAATGCAGTGAATGAGCCATCATACAACGGAAGTGAGATATGAGAGGTTACCTTTCGTTCCCTAACATTGACCAGAGAATCATCTTTGGTTCTGTCCCTAGAGAAAGCAGGGCAGAAGTAAGAAGAGGCTTGAATGTTGATGAAATAGCTAAGATAGATTACCTGATATTTTGGTAGCCTTTAGTTTCAGAAAGTGAAGATGGGGATGAAGCAACCTAAACACGTATAACAACTTTTGCTTAGAACTAATAAAAGTTGAATTTGAAAGATGAAAATGGAAGAGATGCAAGGAATCCATGTGAAGAAAAAATGAGAAAAGAGAAGAAGAACCTTGGGATGGAGAGAAAGGGGAAGGCCCTTCAAGGGAGGATAGAAGTGAGTAAGATGGGGAAGGGGTGGGGGTGGTGGCCTGGGATTGCCAAAGGGATGAGGAGGAGGATGATGATTATAGGGAAGGAGAGGGCGAGATGGGTGGTTTGTAGGAAGGAAACCCCTTCCAGAGGAGGCTACTGGGTAAATCACCGCTGCTGTTGTTGGGCACTGCTGCTCATGATATGACGTTGTTGTTATCGTTGTCGGGCATGGCCCTCTCGTATTCATCGTCACTCCTCCTCCTCCTCCTGCTGCTGCTGCTGCGTTTGTGCCGCTGCTTGAACCCCGAATTGCTGTCGTCGGACTTGAGCTTCTGTTCGACATTTTCCTCACCCTACCCGCCCTAATTTTTCAATTCTAAAAGCTGAAAAAACAAAAAAAATAGAAGCAGAGTGAACATTTTTCCGGTCGAGTGGCATTATAATACATAACAAAAATAGAGTAAGTTTGGTTAATAAGATTATACTAAAATAAAATAAGATAATATTATAATTATAATTATTATTAGAATAAATAATGTTATTCAAACATATAAAGATTATAATAATATAATTTATTTATTAGTCAAAATTTATAGAATTTAAATTGATATAATTTTTAAAAGTATAATAGGATTCAATCCCATAAATTAAAATAATCGTTTTCGTTTTGAGAAGATTCAATCATCTTATATCAAAAAAATGATTAATCTTTTTTATAATTCTTTTAATTTTCTTTATATACAAATCAAACATAAATATAAAATGATAATTATCATATATTTTTAATTATCTTATGTATCAAATATGATCATAATGATTAATATAATTTTTTTCTTTTAATTATAAAGTAGAAATAAAGTCACCTAATTTCTTGTTGGTTTTGTTGGAAAGCTTATCAGGTCACTAACATATAATAAATTAAATTTTTATTTAATAATATAAATCTTATTTTAGATTTATTATAACTAATATATTTATATTTTTAAAAATATATATTTATAAAAAAATTACTTAAATGTGCAAGATAAAAATAAAAAAAAACTAAAAAATTAATTTTTTTTAAAAAGTCACAGTACAAAGATTACCTATATTCATTAAATACCTATGGAGATAAAGATAAATTTAAAATACTCGTTGAATATGAGAATAGAGATGGGTATAATATAAAAAAACAGAGATAAAGATAAGGAATGTTTTATCTGTCGTATACCTTACCCATTAACATCCATAATCAAAGTCCACAGAATGATGCCATCATCACGAGCTAGCCAATGCCGCCCTTTGAGCTCCAATCGATGGCCTACACAATAAAAAGAAAGAAAACTGCTATCTGCCTCTCAAAATTGAAAATTATAAAACCTAATGAGCCAACCTCACATATATAAAAGTGAAAACAAAGATCTTTCTTAACATGTTAATCAAAATTGACCCATCCTATTATAAGTCTAAATATATAATTAAATTGGGACACATTTAACAACAATCATATTACTATTTGGGTATAGTACGTAAGGTACTACAACATTTACTCATTATATTGAGATTAATTAATATTATTCGGTATTTAATGACTTTGTTAGTCTTCTAATATAAGATAAATATAATAATTTTTCACTTGGGCAACACAAGTCATTAAACCTGAATCTGAACTATCTGAATGGTCATAAATAGAAAATGTCAATATGAGTATATACCAAAATCATCGTACAACAAAATAAGCATTTATAAGCCTTAATATACATTATATCGATTGGATACGAATGTGTGGACTTACATGCTTTTTATAACCTGAAAGTATTTATAAACCTCAAAATGTATTGTATCAACATGATACATGTATGTAGACTTATGAATATTTCAACAACAGTAACAATATAATAACAAGCATTTATGAGCCCTTAAAATGCACTATACTAACAAAGTATGTGTACATAAACTCATAAACGCTTCAGAAGTAGTAATATGATAGTGTGAAATGAAAATGATATGAAAACATAATCAATATCTATTTCTATTAGGTCATTCGCATCTAAACAAAATGATGCATCGGTTCAAAAGAAGCATGTAAGACTAATCTCAAATGTCTCATCCAATGGAATGCCATACTCAACAAAATAGGCACAAATGAAATATATGTATGGCAAATAAGAGTCCATCCATCACAATTGCAACTGATTTTATTACACAAAGCCCCCATTAACTCAATATAGCAAAAGATTATACAAGCCTTATACAAGTGTCATGCTATCAAGACATTTTAACAGCCAAAATTGGTTAGTGTTTACACTAGAATGAGCTCTATATATTATATCGTCTACAATTTATTTCAACATTAGATTCCATTTCTTTTTCTCTAATATATTGAATGATGATATCTAATTATTTGGAGTGTGAAAAACTCTTAATATTTAAGAGAAAGCTATTACTACAGATTTACCACAAAATATTCCCAACGACTTCGAAATGAAAACCTAAAATCGAGCCTTAAAATGAGATTTTGCAATCAACAATCTAACATGTAACTTTACCACATGCTACACGTTTTACTTTCATTATTGGATGTTATGAGTGTTCACTTCAAAATTTCCCAAAAATAGCTCTTCTAATAATACCAAAATTGGCTTTTAAAAGCATACAAAAGCAGGATCAAATATCAAACTAGATTTAGAATGTTGATCATTGATGTTTGAATATAAAACTACTCAAGTGTCTTTGAAGTACACCTATAGCATAACCAACATCAAAATGTGTACTAACCGGAGCGTACATCAAGCTACCAATAGTTTAGGCATATTGACTGTTCAACATGAACTCTTTTATTTATTGACATGAGGACTTTGCTATTTAACAACGTCACTACAATGCATTTTAAACTTACTCAACACATACCGAATGTAGGTTTTAAGACCAATCAAATATGCCTTTATATCTATTATGAAAAAATCTCAATCATTAAACCAAAATGGGAGCCTCACTTAGATTTTTTACCCAAAGTTAAATGATGACATGTAATGTCTCAAATAATAAGTCAGTATCTACGACTACTAATATGATATTATCAAAATGTAAAGCACCTGAAATACATTGCTACTCCTACTAACCTTTAGACATGTGCTTGATCAATAACATTTTTCTTATAATGACAATCTCAATAAACTTCAAATATTACAAAATGGATGCCTTTTGAGTCCACAAATGAACGTTTCAAGTTTATAAACTAAATGTTCCATTATAGAAAACCATAAAACCTTTAGGTCACTCCATTTAAATGTCCTAACGTCTAGCTAATGTAGCTTAAAGCAGAATAAGCCACCAATACTATAAAGATTCTAAAAAAACCAATGGTAGAACTAGGATAAAAGGATTTTTTTACACCCAATTCCTTTTTTTGTTTAAAGTCCTAAATCACAAACTTAGCTTAAACATTTCTACTTGGCCTATGAAGTACCTTTTCAACCTTATAAGTCATCAACAATTGATTGGACTTCAAAGATATGGTCATTCATTTTGATCCCATACATAATTATGCAACACATATGCAATCTCATACTACTTGACAAACATCCAACCCGAAGAGGTACCCTCACCAAAAGCCTCCTAAAATACAACAAAACCAAAAAACACATGAACGATATAATCATGTTCTTCTATAAGTTAAAGTGTAGTTCTAGAAACAATAATATAGGGATTAATTGTTGATTTAACCATTTATGGCATTTTTCATCAATAGCTAAATCACATGAGGGACTAGCACAATAACAACATATTTTTCATAAGAATGACTTTGTGAAGTTCAAAACCTAATACTCTCACTATCTAAGTCATCAACTAAATAGATTGCATAATTAAATCTAATAATTCTAGTATTATACAATAGATGACAAAATCTAGAATCTTTGAAGCCAATGCAATAACCAACAGAATTTGCTAATAGCTTTCTAATCGAGTTTCCTTGATTGTGGGTTGTGGACCTATAATCTATATTACAACCCTAAGCTGGAAAAGCAACCTTGAAAATGACTTTTTGTCTAACCATAAATCATAACGATTTTAAGAATTGATTTTGCTTGAAACTTTATTTAGATTGAATGTTGCAATCTTAAAGACTTCATTCTACATGAAATCCATAAATGTGAAATGACTTAGCATATACCACATTATGTACAAAAGTGTGTGATTGCCTCTTATTGCAACCTTATTCTCTTTTGATATTCCAAACATAGCATACTAGGCATCAATACCAAAATCTTGCAGAAGACTCAACAGATTAGTCCAAGATTGCACATAGTTTCGTCATAATGACCACTGTATTCATCACCTATGTCTAATCTTATTGCCTTAGTTTTATGTTTTTGAAAATTTGATAGCTAATTTTTTTTTATTTTTTTAAAAACTTTAAGGCTTTCATATAATTAGATTTCTCACTCCACATGATCGAACTCTAAATGGTCTTCAGTAAGGATGATAAAGAGCTTATATGCACTGAAAATAATAGTTTGAAACGTTCAATAATTGTTGCTATAAGTCAATTCTTAAGTTAGTTCCTAAACTTCTCTATATTTGCTAATCATGACTATATATTAATAATGAGATTTCTTTTAATACAATCTACTTATATGTCAAATTTGAAATGTCTCAATGCCTATGCCACAACATGGTAAACTTCACATCTATTTTACCAAGATTACAACCAATGATTACATCATTTACAATAAGCATAACTTAAGAAGATTGCCTATGTTCACAATTATCTTCCTTTAATTTGGTCCCCTGTTGCTTGCCAATTATTGGATTTAGCTTATTCTACACTAACAATAATATCTAACCACGAAAAGTAGAAGGCATAATATCTATATTGGATTCAAACGAAAAAAGCTAATAGAATACCTTACTTTACTTTTCAATTTAGAAAATTTTTACAATTTGCCTCTTATGCCTGATTTATACCAAAAGTGGCACACATTTCTAAATTTTTTTGATTTCATGATTTAGAGACATTCATGAAACCGAAATGGGAAATGGGCTTCACAAGTTTTTTCTTTTTAACCTTTAATGGGATATTTCTCAGTAATGGTTCATTTGGCAATTATGCTAAGGTATCATTTAGAAAATAGAATGTAATTGTCGGCTTATTATATCTCTTTTTCTTAAATGGTTACAGCACTCATAGTATTTAAATTCCATGTTTATCTTTTGTACTTTATAGGCGGCTTTCACACTATTAACCTAGAAGGAAGCAATTTAAAAATTTGTCACAGTAGAAACTAGTCTCGTATTACAATGTTAGTCATTTTCAAAATATGCTTATGAAAACCATCTACCCCATCCAATATGGTTGTGGTAAACTATATATATGGTTCAATATTTTATCCTTATGGAACTTTACAAAAATGATCTCTAATGGCATGCTTAATTATCAGTGTGCAAAACACTTTATCTAATGTGCTCACTAATGGTATAATTATTTGTCATTAAACAATTCTAATTAGAGTGTCTTTAGGAAGCACACTATCCTTTTGTCCTCAATCGAGCTCAATAATGTGAGCTTATCACCTGAGTGGGTATTAAAGGTGATAAACTCTCTAGGCTATTTTTGAATTTGTTATGGCCAAAACTGTAGAAAGTGATTCACACCATTTATCAAAATGATCCTATTAAATGATAGTTGTAAAAACACAACCTAGATTAGAGGCTATATAGAATAACTCAAACTATATCATGTATGTAAAACAAAATCATGCCATGAAGGCTATTCTATTAATTCCAAAATTTAAGGGTTTTCCTAGAATATACTATGAAAGATAGTACAAAATTGGTCGGATATAACCCTGTAGTAACTTGCTACCAACAAGGTAGCTAAATCGTATTATACCCCAACCAAAATCCTTTTCTTCCCAAGCATCTTTCAAGGCAATAATGAATTGGTAGGGAAGGTCTTATCACTTTAAAAGACCTCAATAAATATTGCAATTATCATAAGGGATTTGCTTTATTATTGTTTGAAATAAATTACCAAAAAAATCCTGAAAATCTACATGATTACTCCCATGATAGGTGGACTTTAATCAATCCGATTAGTGATTTTTGTAATTTAAGAATATTCACAAAATTATCAAACAAAAATTTAACTACAATATAAATATGCTACACCAAAAGCAATACTAAAAATTAGGTCCAACAAAATCAATTTATTCAATTGTTCATGAATATTCAAATAATAAGGTAATTTGATTAATCAAATGGATTTTTACAAAATTAAATGAATTATTAACGGAATGGTAAATTTTAATTATTGAAAATGGGCTAACCAAAATATCCAAATAATTCATTTATCATCCATTTAATTGGGTTAAAATTTTTATAGAATGGAATCATTAATTTTAGAGCCAAAATATTTTACCAAATTCTTAACTAAAATGAAAAAAAAAAACAATTAAATTAAGCCTAAAATTTAATTTCAGCAAATTGGTTTAAAACGAAAAATCAAAATTTTAATTACAACAAAATGGCTTAAATCTAAATGACATAACTGGTATTTAAATTATATTAGCCTAAACTCTAGAATTTAATTATTAAATTTGGCCTAATCAAAATAACCCAATAATAATATAAAACCTTTTAATTTTCACCAAATGACTTAATATTAAATGGCCCTTAAAGAAAATTATCCAAAAATAAAAAATGATCAAATTTAATTTCAATACCAATTGGCTTAATTAAAAACAATGGCTCAAATTACAAATAAATTAAAGTGGCCCAAAATTTAAAAGGAAATTGGCCCAAATTTGAAAATAAATCAGGCTCATATTGAATGGTTCCAGCAACTTCGACCCAAAATTGCCCTTTTTTTTAATTTTTTTTTATTGACGTGAATGACACAAGCGCCAAGAGAGTGTATTTGGCACTTGTATTACATGCATTTAACAAACTATCTATAGCGTGTGTAACATGTAACACACGCATCATGCACGGGTTAGACGAGTGGTAGTGTGTATTATACATGCCCGAATGAAAAAAACTACTGCACTTGCCTCACTCACACCTTCTGGTAAGTGTTTTCTTCACCCATTTCACATGCAATTCGAGATTTTGACTCGACTCAACCTGATCAGACTCAAAACTCATCATTTTCATACGATTTTAGACCAAAAAAGCTGGATTTCAATCCCCTTTAAACTCTACACAACAAAATAAAAATTTGGAGCCCAAAAACTAAAAACCAGAATGGGTTTCAAAAACCCAAAGCTTCGAAAGCTTAAACCGAGCTTCAAATGCGACATCCAGACAATAAAAAATGGTTAGTGACATCTATGGTAAGTATGACTAGAGGTGAGTAAATGATTAATTCGATCGGTTTGATTTGAAAAAATCAATAATCGACTTAATCGATTTTCATTTAATTAATAATCTAACTGATCAAATATTATTAAATAACCGACCATAATCGAACCTACTAAAATCGATTCGATTCGGTCGGTTCGATTAAATAATCGATATTTTTTATTATTTTTTTTTCTATCATGAATAATTATTTAATCATAAATTCAATTCAATAAAATTCAAACTATTCAAATTAAATTACTAAAAAATTTAATAATTTCAATAATATTTTACCAAAAAAAATAAATAAAAATATTTATCTCAATTTTTTTATTTTTAATTATTAAAAAATCGATTAATTCGATCAGTACAATTATCAATTTTAAAAATTGAAAGCTAACCGAATTAATTAATTTAATTAATTTAAAAAATCGATTATAATTAAAATCGGATAAATCAAATCGATTCAATCGAATTTATTCGATTTTGATCAATTTAATCGATTTAAACTTATTTTTGTTCACCGGTAAATATGATTCTAGTTTTGTCTAGAACTCACCGTCACTAACACAATTTTAAACAAAAACTATAATTGACCTGAAAATGATGAGAGCTCAATTTAATCGAGGTCTACGGAATGATTACAAGCTTTCCAATGTTGTCTTCGGAGCTCCAATCAGTAGCTTGCACGATAAAATGAGAGAAAACTACTTTTTGTCTCTTAAAACTGAGTTATAAACTTAATAGGCTGACTTTCGTGTGTGTATGTATGTATAGAGATAAGAGTAGAGAGCTTTCTTAACATATTAATTAAAATTGATTTATTTTATTATAAATCTAAATACAAAATTAAATTAAGGTCACATTTAATAATAATCATACTATTATTTGAATATTTTATAACATAATATCATAATAATTACTCATTAACTAATAATAATTAATATAATTTAATATATAATGACTTTATTAGTCGACCATACAAAATAAATACAATGTATCTATGAAGACTCATAGCATTCGGAGTTCAGATCATTAAAACACAAACCATCCTATCACCAACAATCCTCCATTACCTTCCTTTTCAGCTACTGACAACATCCTGCCCCCTCTTTCCACCCATTCCTCTACTTACAACCTTGCTTTTCCTTCTCCCTTTTCTTTCTTCTCTCTCTCCTTCGGCTTCCTTCGGCTTCCTTCGGCTTCTACAAAGCACCAAACCTTTGTTGCCCGACTTAAAACAACACTGGACTTGCCTCACACAAACCGTCAGGCATGTATTTTCTTCACCCGTTTCACATGCAATTCGGGTTTTTGACTTGATTCGATTTGATCGGACTCAAACTTGTCATTTTCGTGTGATTTTAGACCCAAAAAAAAAGCTAGATTTCAATCCCCTTAAAGCTCTACAACAATAAAACAAAAATTTGGAGCCCAAAAACTAAAAAACGAAATGGGTTTAAAAAACCCAAAACTTTAAAAGCTTAAATCAAGCTTTAAAGGCGACATCCACACAATCATAAATGGTTAGTGACATCCACTTAGTCACTAATACAATTTTAAACAAAAACCAAAATTGACCTAAAAATAACAAGAGCCCAATCTCTTTAATCGAGATTTACGAAATGATTACAAGTTTTTCGATATCATCCTCTAAGCTTTAATCAATAGTTCGCATAAAAAAGAAGAAGAAAGAACTACTCTTTACCTTTCAAAATTAAAGTTATGAATATATATAAAGGTCAAAGCAAAGAGCTTTCTTAACATATTAATTAAAATTGATCAATTACATTATCGGTTCAAATACAAAAATAAATTAAAATTTTATTTAATAACTATCATATTATTAGTTGAATATATTACAACATTATATCATAAAAATTACTCATTAATTAATAATAGTTACTATAATCGAGTTTATTAGTCAACCATACGAAATAAATACAACGTATCTATGAAGACTCAGAGCATCCGGACTACAGAGCATCAAAACACAAACCCTCCCGTCACCAACAACACACCACTACCTCCTTTTTCAGCTGCCGACAACATCCTGCCCGCTACTTCCTCCCTTTCCTCCGCTTACAACCTTGCCTTCCTTTTCCTTCTTCCTTCTTCCCTCTTTCCTTCATCTTCTACAAAGCACCAAACTCTTGTTGCAGTGTTTTCTTTTTTCAACGCACTTCTCCACTTGTGTCAACTATTTTCTATTTTCTTTTTCAAGATTTCTCAATAGTCAATTGTATTCCATTTAGTGCCACCAAAATTTTTTTTTGATTTGGGTGCTAAAAGAAGTGAAGGATTTGATTGTTGAGCTGAATCATCATGATTTTTGTGGGTGGACTTCCCTTCTCTCCCAACTCTTCTTCTTCTTCTTCTTCAATGCCGTCTCAGTCTCAGGTATTTTCCTTCAATGGATAATGTCATAATGAATTCAAGGCAACATATCTTTCTTTTGTCACATGAATATATACAATTTTTTTTTTGTGAACAGCCAATAGATTTGTTGGTGGCATTGATGGAACACCCCATTCTAATGTCTGCAACACATTCTTTCAAGTCTATCCAGGAGCGGAGAGTCTCAGCATCCATGGATTCCGAGTTAACAACATCATCAAACAACCCTAAATACGTCTACTTATTCCAGAGAGAATACGCTACTGTTGATCCTGCACTTGTCCATGTATGTTTTCTCTTGACTTCCTGCAAATCGCCTATCAAATTCGTTACCTGCTTAATGTTAATGATTCAGATACCGTCTTTTGCATTTCATTCGTATAGATTTCCATCAGTTGTAATCACTCCATGTTTTCTGTTTCTAATAACTTTGTAATACGACATGTAGTAGACAAAAATCTTAGATTCTTATCTGTCATGTTCAACCCGAAATGTTATGCCTCAGTTTTTAGTCAATTAATTTTCTTGCATCGGTTGGGAGTTATATTTCATGGTGAGTGGAATCTTGTAGACCCAAATGTCTCCACTAGAAAAGCTATCAATTTGCTTGTCTGTTTTAGCTTAAGGGAAAATTGGTATCTGAAGGCTTAAAAGACTGATGGCAATGTCATTTATTGTATTTTTATTTCATTTAATCTTCTGAAAATCCCATGGGCTTTTTAATCTTCTTTAAGATGATGATTAGCAAGTGAGACACTATGGATATTTGGTCATTGTCTCTCCTTTGCTAAAATTCCATGGTCCTCTGCTCCCCTTTGTAAAACCCAACTGAACATAAACTTTTCATCATTATTTTGTAGACTTGATCTTGAATGCTGCTTATCTCATTGTAAATTTGTGACTCCTTCAAGAGCTTTGTGCCTTTTCTAGGTGTGGAATTTTTTTTTTTTGTTTGGGGGGGGGGGGGGGTGTTTTTCACATCTTTACTAGACATATTCTGCCTTGATTCACCCCACCTCTCTTCTTCTTGATTCTATAGTTCTATTGATTGCCTTCACCTTATTTCTTCCTTGCATGGAAAGTACATTGGCACTGATGAAGCAACAACTTGTGTGGGTCTCGTCATTCGGAATCGGAAAAATGGGATGTAAGAATATGCAAGAAAGTTCAGAATTGCTTGATCGAATATTTTCTATTGGATCTGTAATTCTGATTTTGTGATTTGAATTCAGAACCTCTGTTGCCCATATGGATTCTCCAAAATCTGTGGATATTGGCTTCATCCAGATGTTATCACTAGTTGTTGATCAAAATTCTGATGCTGATTTGGATGTATTCTCAACTATATGCCCTTATTTTTGTTAATTTGTTGGTGATTTTTCATAATTGAGATGTATTACTTTTTCTTGAATTAAATCTTTTAAATGTTAAAATGCAGGTGCATTTAGTTGGTGGTTTTGAAGATGTTTCACCTAATGTCTGGCCTTCTCACTTGTTGTTGATTTTCCTGAGATATTGTTGTTTGTTACCTGCTCAAAAGACAAATGATTAAGTTGAATATCTTGACCTTTTTGGCAGCATGCTAACGACAGCACTATATCAGAAGGGAATGCGAGAGTGGATGGTTTTTCCTTTCCTTTGTGTAGAAAAATAGTTGAAACTATGCAGAAAAGACAGGAAAATTTTCATGTACAGACTCTATGTGTTCTTGGACATAACACCAAAAGGGATTCTCAAAGAAATGCGTATCCCATTTTCAATGGGTTCCTGGTAAGTTCAAGCTTTGACAATTCCTTATTTTCAAAATGGAAAATGGAATTGCAGAGCTTAGTGAAGCACTGTATCCATTTTTTTAGCAGCTCAAGATTTTGAAATAGCTAAGTATTGAAACTAGTATACCAGTCATTAAATCTTTGAATGGAACTATAATATGTTTAAATTCACTACAAGGGAAAATGGAAGGTTCTTATAGTCTGACGGTAAGATGCTGTGTTTCAGATTATGCGTCTAGATGCTTGTGCTGTTGAAACTTTTTAGGGTATGTTTGGTCCAGCTAGAGCTTATATAAAAAGTGTTGTTTGAGTAAAGTTGTTCAACAAGTGCTGTAAAGAGAAGTTAAAATAGCCTTTGGCAAATTTAATGCATAAGTGCTATAAAATGTGAAAAGGTTTTTGATAGCATTTTTATTAAAGGACTATAAAGTATTGAAATTACCAAAAAAGAAAATTTTATTGAAGTACTTTAATAATTAAATAATTAAAATAAAGATGTAAAAAAAATTAATTTATATAATGCTTTTGTTAGTGACTAAAATAAATGCTTAACTTCTTGAATTTTGATGATAAAATAAGTTTTAAAGTAGAAAAAGAAAAATCAAATTACATTCATCTCAAGAGGAAAATAATTTTATAAAAAATTATAAATTACACATTAGTTCTTATTGGCACATAAGTTTTAAAGTAACATTTCTGTTACTCTGTTGTCTTAAAAAATTAAACTAAAAAAAAGTTAAATTGAATACGGAACACACATGTTTTATCTTCTTCGTTGACATATATTAATCTGACTACTAACAGTTTTTTCCTTTAAAAATCAAACCAAAAAATAAATAAATAAAAGAGATAGAAAACTAGGGCAAGAACCTACTTGCTACACTATAAACATATCATACATTATTTTCTTTTGCATGTTTTCAGGTAGAACCTTCTTCTGGATCCCTCATCCCCGCCAGGTTTGATAGAACTTTACGATGTCCAGATGAAATTGTCCGGAGACTTCGAGTCTCTGCTTCGTATGAAGACTCCAGTTTGCATGGGAAATTACTGGATACTTATGACACTAAAACTGATCGAATTGTTATTGCTCCTTGCAGTTGGTAGAATCATTTAACAACTTACAATTTCAGCTATTTTTGACAATAGCAATTCTACTGTGTTTGTTTAATTTTGCATTATACATCTCTGAACTTAACTATATTTATTTTTGTGTAAAGTTAAATAAATATGCTTATACCATGTGATGAACTTGGATTTATTGTTTTTGCTCATGCTTTTTCTGTTGACATAGGACCAGACGCCTAGTAAATTTTGTTTTGTCACTGCAAAGTCTTTCTGACTCTGAAATCCTTGCTAGACACTCTACTTCACCTTCTGCTGAGGGTCCAGACTTTGTGGATAATGAAAGAAGGTGAGCACGTCTTGAAAGGAAGTGTTCATGTTTATGGTTCTCTATATTTGTTACATATGATTTTTTTTTTTTGATAGCTTGTTACATATTGTTATACATTTGCCCTTGCCTTGGTTAGTATCTTAATTTGGCTGTAGGATGCTAGCAATTAATCGAGGTTAAGCTAAGACCCTTCTAGTTTAGAATTAAGTGATATGCATTTTGGATGCCAATTTATGTCTAATCCCAATAATCCAAAATTTTAACCAGTCATGAACTAAACCGAGGTAAGAGAGAGAGAAGAAAAAAGAATGTATGGATAGGATGGTATGATTTTGAGGATAAAACCTTCCAGGCATGTGCAATCCATGACAACATAGACAGAATGTCTCTGTATGATATTGCCCTTGTGAGTTGGATTGATAATCAACTAGAAAATCTGGTCTTGGGATGGCTTGCATAGTTTTTTCTTGCAAGGGAATGAGTTATATTCTAAATGATATTGCACCTGTTTTCTGCAGGGTCTGGAACTATCTGATTAAGCATCCAGATTGGAAAACAACTTTTCCCATGAGGCAACCACGGGTTTTTGAGAGGACAGATGAAGGAGGCTGGAAAAGTGCTGATTTTCATCACATGGATAGTGGTTGCAAATCCTAGTTCATAGCATACCATGCAAATTCCATTGAAGAAGTCTGGTTTATGTACCCTATTATTTTCTTTTATATTTGATGTTGTCAAGATGAAATAAAGAATTTAGTATTCTACCAACAATTCAGGTGGCTCTTAGTATGTAGCCTAATATTTATGCAAGCTTCTTTGTCGCTTTTGTATGCTATCATAGAGTTACACATGGCTGTCTTAAGATGTTAACAGTGAAAAGCATGACCACCACCTCTGTATTGACAAGTTAACAGTGTAAGTTAGCTTTCCCTTTCAATTTTGATTGAATCGGTTCTCCTAGTTTTTGAGCAGATGATTAGTATCTTCAATGGATGCTTCCACATTTTCCATGGACATGTCCAAGATACCTTAATTACCGGTATTGAATTGTCAATTGTGTAAATAAATAACAGTGCCATATTGCTCAAGTCACTCATAAATGGTCTTTGTCGTATTTTTTATTTTTAATATAATTAATGTAATGATCTCCTATTTGTTTCTTGCTATAAGGTTCCAACAAATTTATGAAAACATGAGAATGTCTCAACGTTGTTTAGTCCCCTCAAACAAGAAAAGTGTTTGTAAATATACGAGTATCATTGCGTCCAGATTTTAAAAATATTGTCTTTATAAGAACATTCTATAAATTTGAGCTTAAGATTTTAATGCAAAAATTTTCAGGTTAGAGTTAGACTCTTGAAACTAGAGAGAGGGCTATGAGAGATATCTTTTATAACATGGATTCGGTGGGTCTTTGTATTGAAAAAGAAAAGTAACATATATATATATATATATATATATATATTAGGCAGAAAATAATTTCTAAAATATGATTTAGGCTTTTTTTTTTTATATTTGATAGGAAATTAATTGGTCAATGGAAATGACTTAATAATAAATTTAAAATTATTTTCTTCTTTTAAAAAGCATAAGATAATTTTTGAAAGAAAATTATAAGTAAGATTACTTATCAAATTGTGAATATAATTCTACTCAAATTGGATTTTGAAAATTATTTTTTTAGTTCAAACTTATTTTGACTCGATTTGTAATATTATAATATTAATAAAAATATATTTATTGAATTTTAATTATACTAATTTTAAAATATTAATATTAAAAGTCTTCTAATATTTTAATTTTAAATACTTTATAATTCTATTCAAGCAAGATTTTGGACATGATTGTTTTAGTTCAGACTTAATTTGATCTAGTCTAAAATATTATTATATTAATAAAAATATTTTAATTTTAATTGGAATTTTTAAAATACTAAAATATTAATATTATAATTTTTCTAATATTATAATTTTAAATATTGTATTTTGTATATTATTAAAACTAAATATTTTTAATATTTCAATAAAAAATTATTATATTATTTTAATAATAAATAATATTTTTAATCATTTCTTAGTATTTTTAAATTTAAAATATATTATTTTTTATTTTATTATCAAATGTACTTTAATAATACATATAAATAAATAATACTTGTTACTATTTAATAGTAAATACTTTCCATATGAAATAATAGTATTAATATTTCAATAGTTTAATAATAAATATTACTAATTTTAATATTATTGTATTAATAGAAATAATATTTTAAGAATAGAAATAATATTTAAAATATTTAAAATATTAATATAAATAAAAATAAATAATTTTATCTATTGACAAAGCTCCAAGTTGTAAAATTTATATTGACAAGATTTCAAGTTGTATAATTTATATTAACAAAGTTCTAATATTACTAGAAGAGAATTGTGTATTAATATACAAAGTAATAGCAACAAAATTTAAAATTTTTTTAACTCATTAAAGTCAAAATCAATCAAAAAATTAAATGGACACAATAATTAGTTTTGGCTATAGTAGATTATCTCTTTTGTTGTCAAGGCCTGGCCTGCAGGTTGCCCACACCACATCCAGAAGGGTCCAAGTTGGGAGATACGTAAGTGAATCTTCTGGAAGCTTAAAGGATCAGTAGAAGCTTCTTAGTAGATTTGGTTGACCTAGAATTCAGGAGTTAGAATTTTGATTGATTGTAATCTTTGTAATTCTTTGATTTTAGCCTTTATTTTATTTTAGAGATATTGTCATTAAGTGTAGCTAGAGCTTCAACTATAAATAAAGGATTGCTCCACCCTCATTTGTATACCATCAAATACTTTTATTTCAGTAAATACAGAGCATATTTTCAACATTCTACCTTATTATTTTATTTTTCTTTAACTTACGTAATCAGTCATTCTTATTATTCTAATGTTCGCATGCTTGTGTTTTAGGTTGACTTAAGTATAAAAAATAAGATTTGACTTCACTTAGCATTAAGTAATAGATCATCAAATTTGTTTTAGCAAACAAAGAGTTTTTCAAATATTATTGCCTCAATACATATTTAAATCTCTAATTGCTTCAATACATATTTAGATTTTTGATGAGCCATTGGTTTCTTAGCTTGAGCGATTACTTTATTGTTATTACAATAAACAATTATCCGATCAACAATACTTACATGAACTTTTTAATCCATTGTTGTCACATAATTTTCTACACCTTATAGCTTTTATCTCATTAGACATTTTGTAGTAGTGAGAAGTAAAGTTGGCTCGTATAATTTAGTTTTTACTTTTTTATTTTCTCTTTTTCGATGCCAAAAATTTCATTAGAGAGCGAATTGTGAAATGGTATGCTTGCTAAGTGAAACTTTTTTTTTTAAACTTGCTAAGTGAGACTTTTGTTTTGCATTCAATGCCACATTAGTGTTTTGAGACAGGCATTTATGAAAGGCTGTGGCTTATTAGTAGTGTTAAGAATTTTATTGCTTTGGTTGTTGGCTTAGCAATTATATCAAAATTTTGTTCTTTTTAAATAACTTAATCTCCTTCTGGCTCAATAGCATTGTTTATAGTAATATTTAAAATTTTGTTAAATTTTTATAAGAAGTTTTAATTTCCCTATAATTGAATCTTTAATATATTTATTTTATATATGTCTTGAACGTGTTAGGGATTAAATTATATTAATTATATGTTTACATATATATTTAATAGATAACATTTAATTCGTGTAACATACAAATAATAAACTAGTTAGATGTATAATAATAATAAAATTTGTGACTAGACATGATACGTTATTCCAATAGTAATTCATTTCTTAGCTCTTTTATTTATTTATTAAATTTTTTAAAATATAAATTTATCAAACACTTAACAAAAATAGATATAACAAAAGCATGAAGAGTATTTTTTTAATATTAAGTGGAAGAAAATATATTTTCTAATAATTTTAATCCTGTCACTTAGCACTGGTATTTTCCTAATTTTGAAAACAAAACAAAAATAAAAATTTTGTAAAAAAAAAAATATAAAAAATCTCAAATAATTAAACATGTTGTTTACTCCAAAATAAATATAAAAAATGAAACGCAAAATAGAGCCAAAAAATTCTGTATCTATTCTCTGTAAGTAATGGTGCTCGATAAATTAGGAATTATAATGTATTCGATACCTTGGATTCAATTATATTGATTAGTTCATAATATTTTAAATTTTTAAAAATTAATCTAAATTTAAACTTTTTTTTTTTAAATCGAATTCATTTTAATTGAATTAAAATTGAATTAATCTAATTTATTTTTTATTAAATTAATTTAAATAAAATAATATGAATTTAATTTGAAACAAATTAATTTAAATCAAATTAAAATATTTAATATTTGATCCAAATTAAATCGAATAAAAAAATTAATTTTCACAGAATTAAATATTATAATTTAAAATGTATTTTCGATTTTCACAATATTCTTAAAAATCCTTGGACTGATTACTAAGTTAACAGTCAAATATTTTAGAGAACAAAGTTAAAGTTGTACTATTCTAGACTTCTAGTTGCAGTAGTCTGGAATTGTAGCAGCCACAATGAGCACGTGACAAGAGTAAGACCTCGCCTTATAAAAAAGAAAAGAAAAAAAAGGGAAACAAAATTATTTCTGCCTATGGCTTCGCAAATTCAGTGCGCTGCTTCACCACCACTGCCTTCTCTTCCGACCTTAACACCAAAACGTTTGCCTTCCCCTTCCCTGTTTTTTCCACGACATCTACCTCTCACTCGCCTTTCCCTTTTCCACTCCACTTACTTGCCGTCTCCTAGGTCCGTCACCGTCGAATCTCCTACCTCTACGGATGGTCTTGATAATTCCAAGACCCCTCTTCTCGAAGTCAAAGGTTTAACTGCCGTAATTGCTGAAACCAAACAGGAAATCCTCAAAGGTGTAGACCTCGTCGTTCACCAAGGAGAGGTCAACAAAATATTGTTTTTATCTATTTTTTGAGAGTTACTTTAATTTGTATGTCTATGAATGAATTTTCATACATTAGACCAGAATTTTAAAAAATTTAATTTTTTTTTAATTTTGATTAGATTCATGCTATAATGGGAAAGAATGGCTCTGGGAAGAGTACGTTTTCAAAGGTTAGTAATTTTTTTCGCATGTATTTAAATTTTAATAATCTTTTGGCTTATTTTCACCAATAATCCTTGTAATATTTGTTTAATCCTGCTAAATTTTAAAATTTTCGAGCTAATTAGGTGAAATCAGACTGGTTCATGAATTGTTTATTAAAAGGTGTTGGATAAAACTTATGTATTGTAGGTTCTTGTTGGCCATCCCGATTATGTGGTGACAGGAGGCAATGTTGTGTTTAAGGGAGAGAATTTGCTTGACATGGAGCCGGAGGAAAGGTCTCTTGCCGGACTTTTTATGAGTTTCCAGTCCCCGGTTGAGATCCCGGGTGTGAACAATATCGACTTTTTGCACATGGCATACAATGCTCGAATGAAAAAACTTGGTGAGCCAGAGCTTGGTCCACTTGAGGTATATTAGCTCCCCTCCACCTTTTCATTTCATAAAAAAGAATTTGTTATCAAAGGTGTCCGCTTATAATAGATATAAAAAACTGCCGACAGATTTACCAATTTTGTTTGAAGAAAGGGTGTCCGTGGAAAATTTTGGGGTTGTACAGAGGAAAATTTTCTTCAAATTTTCCTATTTTCCAATATTTTTGAGTGTCGTACTTCAAAGGGTAGATCCATCCGAGTGTTGAGATTTGTTTAATCAATAACAATGTTTGTATGAAAAGGTCAAAAGTTGCCATGGCTAAGCTAATTCTATATGGTTATCTCTCCTAATATAAGGAAAACACAATAATCATTCTCATTTTGTTATTGATTATAAATTTGTAGTACTTACACACTATTATTCTCTTGCAGTTCTATGCTTACATATATCCTAAACTTGATCTCGTGAACATGAAGACTGACTTCCTTAACAGAAATGTCAATGAAGGATTTAGTGGAGGTGAAAGGAAGCGCAACGAGATTTTGCAGCTTGCGGTAATATGATATGATTTCTTCTTGGTAATTCATTGTGGAATGGTTTTGTGCATTTCATATATTGTGCTGATTAATATCTTTATGCTGATTAATTGTATTGTCTTTGTCTTCATTTACTAGTTGCAATGGCAGACTCTTGTTAGAACTTAGAATTGTTGTTTACTGCCCACAAACCATGGATGTTTCCTTACATGCCAAGAATATAGTATTTAGGCCAACTCCTTTTGAATCAGTGCTCACCAACCACTTGTGGTAGACAACATGCCCTGGGTTCAAATCCATCCTGCCCTTCTCCCCTAAGAGAGAGATATTGAGTTATAATTGTGAAATCTAGGGAACATTCTATCCATCAGTTTAAATCTTCAAACTATTTGGTCCCTAATTTCTCATAAAGAAAAAGTCTTCTAATTTGTTTATGATTTTTTCTTATTTGTTTCTTAGTGGGCATTTGGATAAGGAAGTTTGAAAGGGAAGTATTTTAAAATGTAGCAATTCAAAATGTAGCATTCATAATTGCATTGTTTGGATAAATATTTTCTAGAAAGAAATTTTGGTTGGGATTTGGGGGGATAAAATAATAATTATAAAAGAAGAATAATGATATTAAAAATAAATTTATTTATATTTATATAAAAAAATTATGCAGTATGAGTTTCTTTAGATTTGTAAAAATGTGTAGATGTTATTAACAATATGAACAAAATAAAAAACACGTACAAATTAGAGTTGAAAAAATAATATTTTGTTTTTTTCATTTTTGGGGTTTAGGTGAGCCCGGTGGGGTCAAATTGGGTGGAGAGTTAAGTGTATTTGAAAAAACACCTATCTAGGTGGGATTTCAAGGGGGTAATTGAAACCCCTGCAATTAATTTTATTTATAATTAAATTTATCTATAAAACAAAAACAGAAAACAAAAAATAAAAAATAAAAAAGATGCCATGCAATCCCTAGGAAAACCATTTTTGTTTCTCATCTCTATATTTACTTTTTTAATGTTATAGGTTCTTGGGGCAGACTTGGCTATACTAGATGAAATTGATTCTGGCTTAGATGTTGATGCTCTTCGAGATGTAGCAAAAGCAGTGAATGGACTTTTGACTCCTAAGAACTCTGTTTTGATGATCACTCATTATCGACGGCTGTTGGAGGTTATAAAACCGACATGCATCCATATTATGGTGAGTCATTTAAAAATTCAAAACTGTCATAATGTAGATATTCTTTGCATGTTGATTTCATTTTCCATGGGAAAGTAGTGAATGTGGCTTGAATGTGGGAAACCCCAACACTAAATCACAATGCTCTTTTTCTTGGTAAAATGTATGGTTGGTCCTTTTTGACATCCTTTAAAGTTTTAGAAAGATATCAAACTCTAACATAGGTCAGTAACTGACATAATAGTGGGCAGCAGAGGTATTGGCTGAACTATAAACTATGTGTACATTGGCCCACGTTCATGATTTCAAGTGATCAGCAAGTTAACTTATGTTTCATAGTTCAACCTTTCTCTTCTGTTTCTAATTGTTGTTAACAAAGTGATGCCCTATTGGATTGAGTCTGTCCGAATTTGAGTCATAGATTATGTACCATTAATCCTCTTTGTATACTCTAATTAGGCATGGGGAGCATTTTGAAACAGTATCAGACGTAATAAAGTTGAGAACTTGTTCTGCTTAGCTTAGGAGAGTTCCTCGATTTTTGGTCTTAACCAGATTCTGGATATCCTAACTCCCAATGTCCTTTGTTTGTTGCTTTTTTTTTTTATAATTTTTTTTTTATTTAGTCACCATTTCTAACTTGTATATACTTCAAATTTCATCTTGTGTTCTTATTATGCTAGTACCTATCAGTTTAGCATATTACTAAAAGCATTTGTTATCCCATCAGAATATGTTCCAATTTGATGTTTTCAGGAGGATGGAAGAATCATAAAGACAGGAGATAGTTCCTTAGCCGAAGTTCTTGAGGAAAAAGGCTATACTGCAATTTCTGCTGCATAGTATACAATTCTTAACTGGTACACTTCGTTAATATTATCTGTTGGATTCTATTCAATCTCACTATACTGTTGTTAAAGCCATTTATCTTAGTTTTTCAGCCTCTGCTCCACAGTGTTTTACATCGTTACTTGGGAAGGAATTGATGCTAGAAGATCTCTACATTTAATCAGGTTCCACCATCATTTTAAGGGAATTTAGAGCCTTGGGGAAGGTTATTGTTTCATATTTAACCACTTGTTTTGGCGTATAAAATTGAGGGTTTCCCACTTGGGGACGGGGGAGTCAGGGAATTCAGAAAGACAAAACTTTGTTACTACATGATTATTAGTGTTGACCACATCCATTTTCAATGCTTTACCAAGTCTGCTCCATCTGATAATTGTAGTCTGATTATTTGATTAAAGTGATACTTTCACAGAAATGATTACAATTCCATTGCCGTGTTTTTAGTTGTCATGATAAGGAAATTGTAGTTTTTTTTATAACTGTTTGTTGTGATCTTACAATGAGTGAGAGAGATTTAAGATCATTGTATTTGGCATGATTATAACGATAGAGATAATTGTGGTTGGTATTACATGAAAATCAAATATTATTTTGTGTAAATTATCAAAGTAATAATCTTGGTAGTTTTAATATTGTATTAAGATAATAATTTATAAAATATCAGTAAGATTTCATCTTTTAATAATTATGATTAAATAATTTTTTAACAAATATGAATAATTTTGTTTTGTCCATGTCTTTGACAAAGTAATTTTTAAAAATAAAATAAAATAAAAATTTTGAAAATAATAATAAGTTTTGTGTAAATTATAAAAAAATTGCCTTGTGATGCAAGGCAAAATAAATTCAACCTTCAAGTGTTAAGAAGTGACACTTGGATATATTTTTGCAGCAGCTTCTTGATAACATCATTAACAATTAATGCTATATAGAATGAAAAATCAAAAATAAAATTATTAAAAAATTAGAATGAAATGGGTTGTATCTATTTGTTTACAATGAAAGTCACCTCAGCTTTGGCTTGAATGTAAGTCACGGCAGACATTTTATTAACTGGCACTAACTATAACCTAATAGAAGTGGAGTACTCTAATTGGAAGGGAGGTGGGGTGGGATTATTTTGGATAAAGTTAAAAATAACAGTGGAGCAATAAAATTAATTATTATAATGATGATATTAATTATTGTAGCATTGAGATTAAAGATAAAATAATTGATTATTAAAACATTGGAATTAAAATCAATGATAGGACAAAATAGTAGTGGCAATAATGTAAAATGAGAAAACAAAATGATCATTGAAAATATTAGATTAAAATTTGTATATAATAAAATTTATAGCATGTTTGATGTTTATGAAATTAGTCAATAAATAATTAAACATTATTAAATTTATTTTTATATCAAATAATACTTTTGTTAATAAATTGCAAGTTATAAAATTTATTTTTATATCCAATAATACATTTGTTAATGAATAATTGAAAAATACTAAATTGTGATAATCTTAGATCCAATAACACTTATGTTAAAAATTGATACTAATATATTTAAATGGGGAAGGATCAACTTACAACTAGTGTAAAATTAAAAAATTTTACATTTTTTTAATTATTAATTTTAATAGATTCAAGGGATGAGAGAGACAAATGAAAAAGAAAAAAAATTGTTTAATCTAATCTTTTGAATTTATTAAAATTAATGATTAGAAAAAAAGTATAAAACTTTTTTGTATGAGTTGATCCTTCTCCTATTTAAATATATTGAAACTTGACAAAGTATATTGGTCACTTAATTATTTAAAATTTAGTTTTATATAATTAATTATGTACATATTTTTCATTTATGTAATTATTTTTTTTAACAAATGAATGGATTAATATTTTCATTATTATTTATTCAATTATTTATTAGCTTTTATGTATTTATTTATAAGATTTTTATATAAAAATAATAATTATTTTAAAAATATAATAATACAGTTACTCATATTAAAATATCAATTACTACTATTTATTTATGTAGTTATATATTTTAGTATACTTAACCATGAATTTTTTTATTTTCTAACAATTTATTTGATTATAATTTGATTTATTTAATTTTTAGTTATCTATCTATTAATTAGTTTATAATATAATAATCATATAAAATTATCTATTATTAAAGGTTAATTAAAAAATTCTAAATAAAAAATGAAAAAGGAGAATAAAAAAAAATTTGAAAACCCATTGCACTGTAGCTTTAAGAGAAAAAAAAAACTGAAATGGGGCCAGATTGAAGGAGGGAACCTATAATGGGAAAATGAAATTCCCATCGGGCCTTAACCCTCTAGTGTCGTGCCTGAGGCTTCCATTGCATCGGCAAATGCTATTCAACAGCAACCCATAGTGGTTTGAAGCCCAAATGGTGCTACATGGGGCTAATCAACCATTTGAAAGAGCCCTAAGCATTTAATCCATTTTTATAAGTATTTGTATAAATATATTTACTAAAAATATGCACACCCACTATGTGGGTCAAGAAAAAATGTGGAAAAAAGTGTTTTAAAAGAAAAAAAAAGTTACTTAAGGGTAGTTTTTTTTAAAGAAAAATAGGTAAATTTTAATCTAATTTATTATATAAAAATTAAAAACATGAATTTTTATTTGATATTATGATTTTATTACTTTTTTGTGATTTTTTGCATTTGTGTTGATATTATTTAACTTGTAATGTCAGTAAGACTTTTTGAGTAGTATAAACACATATATAAAGTATATCATAATATATATTATAAATATAATCTATAATATATAAAAGCACACATGTGAAGAATCTTTTGAACTAGGGAAAATAGATATATATGTTTACTATATTTCTGAATTTCCATTTTTTTTATAATATTAATAAGATTTGTCTAATTTATAAATAAAAACTCTACATCCATGAAAAGATTTTTATGAATTAGTTTATAATCCATCAAAGCACGAATTAATTTTACTTATTTTAAATATTTATAGGCACATAAATTAACATTATTTAATTTACAATTTTAAGATATATATATATATATATATATCACCAAGAGAAATAGAAAAAGGAAAAAAGAGAGATCATAATAAGATAGAAAACTCTCAAAAGGAATTCTTACATTTAGGTGTGTGAAGGTTTTACATTGTGGAACCAAATAATTTTTGCTTTGTAATCTTGTTCCTAACGAGTGACTCAAGTCAGACAATAGCTTTTGTAAATTGTTTTGACAATTGTTTCTTCTAAACAAGTAAATCTTTTGTAATTCGATATATGATTATGTTCATATTATTCATTATTGGTATTAGAGATATTACAACTTGAGTTTTGGTTTGTTTCATATGTTCTTTACAAAACACAACAAAGAAGTTGATAAATTCTTGTATGCTTGTGAAAATCCGTAAGAGTTAGATATAATTTGTGTGTTTTTGACATAAATTGATATTGTTGTGATGATTCTTAGACAATTTGATGAAAATCATTGTTGTTTTGTAAATTTGAATCAAGAAATTTTGATTTTCAAAATTGGCATTCAAATACTCGACTAAACCAGTTGATTGTTTTAAGCAAAATTTTAAAACCAATGATCGAATTTCATCAAGTAGTCGATTGCCCCTTTGTTTTTCCAAAATAGAATGTAAAAAATGATGAGGTAATGGACTGCCCACTCTAGGCATTTGATTGCCCCATATAATTTTTGAAAACAACATTCAATTTTATTCTAAGGAAAATGATTTCTTTGTCCTTAATTAACTTTGGCAGGACATACTATACAAAAATGATTAAGATGAGTCTTAATCATTGTGAGACTTGTGTTTATTCATGTATTCATGATTTTTCTTATATTTGTTACAAAACTCATGAATGTTATCATGAGGTCTCCCATCATTACGAGGATTATTAAGACACAATTTTTAAGAGTCATATGGATGGCGATGAGATTGGCACAATATCGAATAGATCCAAATGATGATGATATTGTAAGTCATATCATCAAGGTTAATGGCATGATCAAAGAATTAATTTGGCATTGTTGCATGCGTATTAGAAATGACCAGATCAAATATGCAATGCTAAACGATACACTCTTGACTCCTAAACAAAAGAATTTTTTGTAAGATATTTGGGTGTTTATGGGGAGGAATACTGATTATGAAGCATTAATTAAGAATTTTATGAAAAAATACAAAAAATGAGGGACAAAAGGAGTGCGACCTTCTTCATTTGCTCAAGTCTTCGCAATGGAAAATACAAAATTGTTGGACCTTTACGGATGTGCAATGTGAATGTAGAACTATAAAAAAAAATTTTAGATTCCATCATATCATTAGATAAGTCATACATGCTGATTAAGAACATAGTTTAATAAACATTTGGTATGTTTTAGTATGAAACATGTTCATGTGTTAAATATGTATATGATGTTTATATGAAAATCAATATATGTTATTGATTCATTAATGGTAACCTTAGGATTAGTGGGAGTTTTAAGATATTGAATTGTGCAATCTTAAAATGGTTGATTTTGCGCAATGAAATAGAGTAAGTGACAAGCAAACCCATTGAACAAGAAATTTGATTATAAACATAGTGATATTTTGGTTTCATTTTGATGTGAATGATTGTCATTGTTTTATTTGTGGCATTATGACAAAATGAGAAGTGTGCAATGTTAGAAATTAATTAGTGCATATGTCTCTCGAATTTGAAATGGCTATTGCTTCAAAGAACATTGTCGCTAAGTTAAATAAGGGTGAGAAGTTAAATGAAGATAATTATGAGATATAGAGTATGAACATCCAATACGTACTAGAGGAACAAGAGGTTCTAGATGTTATAAACAATATCTTTGATGAGTCCGAGGAAGGAAATATGTCCCAACACAAGATAGGCCTTAAGTCTTATGAGGCCTGGAAACAGAAAAGCTCTATTGCACACATTATGTTGCTTAGCAATATGAAAAATAATATCATTTATGAGTTCAAAAAACATGATATAGCCAAAGAGGTGTGAAGTTCCTTAAATGTAAAGTTTGATGCAAATTCGATTACTAAATTTAAGCAGCTCAGTATCAAGTTTGACACCTACAAAAAGTGGCCTAAGCATAATGCCAAACATGATAAGCAAGTTGAAGAAAGTTGGCCATACTTTGATAGATGAACAACAGGTTCAAGCTGTAATTCGTTCTTTACTATGCAATTGGGAGCACATGAAAGTGCACTTAACCCACAATGAGAGTATAAGAACTATCAATTATGTTTCCTGTCATCTTCAACTAGAGGAAGATTATATAGAAGCATCTAAGCCTAGTGATGATGTTTATATGGCATCGACTAGTTCAAAGGAAACTTCAGACTTCAAGCACATGCTACATGATAGGAACAAAGAGAAAGCTCTTAAGAGGTCAAAGAGTGGCCAAAATGGCAAAAGACATGGTCCTAAGGCTCATACTAAGAAAAACAAATTGAGTGTTAAGTACTTTAACTGTGATAAAATGGATCACTTTGCTCATGAATGCAATAAATCAAAAAAAGGTACAAACCCTTAAAGCATTTTTAAGTTATGCTGAAAGCACTA